TATTACATCCGTTCTTTGAGTTGACAGCATAAGGGATTAGAGACCAGGCATCACAGGCCACCCCACCAGGTTCCTAATCACAGTAATCATAATTGTTACACATGCGATTTCACTTTTTTAAGCAATAAACTTGAAAAAGAGGAATCAAATTTTGCTCTAAACATTATGCTTTGCTAAGCCCGAGAAAAGAACTCTCATGTGCAACAATTTACAATAATCGACCTGGCGGGTTGGGGCAAAAGGGTTGGTAGGTCACGTCTCTTATCCTTTACACTGTACGTGAACTTCAAAATATGCACCGTATAAGAGGCCAAATCGATGCATTGTTTACGGTCAGTGCAGGTAGTTACAAGACGATGGCGCCCACCAGTGATCGTTGTAATCAGTAACATGCATAACCATCCCTGTTAACATGTGTTAATATGTCTCTTTCGACTCAAAAGTATTTAAAGAAGCTTAATTACTTTCTTTAAGAGACCGGAGACAAATTCAATTGTCAAAAAAGGCAATTTCATTGAACTTTTGACCTCTACAAACGTGACATCTGACACGGCCAATAATTATGCAAATAGGCAAAATGGCAGATTACAAACTACTGTTGGTTGCAATCCCAGAAGATACCCCCAAGTCTGAGCCTACAAACCAAACTTTACTTTGATATGATTTAGGCCGCAACTTTTGAGATATTTTCCCTCAAATCTTCCTCACTTTCAGGGTTTGGATTAAGCCTGCAAAATAGGTAGTCCGTGAATCACTGTAAGTTGAACATGTTTTTTATTAAGCCTGTGAACTATCGAAGTTAACTAAAAAAACTGAATCGAACAGATTTTTTGTGCGGGCGTTCGTTTGTTTGCAACGCGCTTTTCAAAATCCATCAACTTTAGTCTTTGAAACACTCTCTGAGAGGCCGAGACTAGCCTCCCACGCTCAATTTGTTTTTGGCTTGTAGCAGAGCTAAGAATAAGAATTTGAAAACAAAAAAAGCGATTTTAGTATTTACCTACTTAAGCCTCTTCACCGACAAAAAATAAAGGAAACATTTTTTGTCGCGAAATCGAGTGGACCGCTTTTAGGGAGACTGCCTCTTAAGTATCTCCAGTCGCGGATCCAGACCTTCCGATAAGGAGGGCCCGGTCATCCCGACCCTCAGATAAGAGGGAGCCCAGTCTCAAAAATAATTTTTTCGGCTCTTCAGGTCGCAGTTTGGTCTAAAAATAAGGGGGAGCCCTGGTCTCCCGGGCCCCTCCCCTGGATCCGCCACTGATCTCCCCATACTCGCAAAACAGCTGCCATGAAACCCCTCTTTGGTCGTTGTTATAAATCGAAAATGTTTTCATATTCATTGTATTTTTATATTTTAAGCTTGCTGCATTGGGTACGTGGAGGGGTAGCCTGCTTAGCAAGCGTTTCCATGCGGTTTAGGAGCAAAGAACGAATAAAGAGAGTCAAAATGGGGCAAGCAAAAGAGCGGGGAGGGGGTGGGGAAGAAAGGAAGGAAACGCTTGCAGACAAACCCCGCGAATTTGAAAACCGCCCACTTGGCCTGTCATACCTAAGTTCGCGTACCGACTTTTGATGCCGTCATCAGCTATCAAAATTGACCAATAAAATGTTTGGCCTTCCGTAGAGCGGAAATGAACTTTAGAGGACGTGTGTGTGAAAACAAAATTGTTTCTTTTTGTATTTTGGTACAAGTGGACGGCGTTAATGTTGAAATCTCAATGAATGCGAAAGATCAGTGCAGGCTTTGTAGATTTGTCATATCAATCCGTCTAAAAGGAAGGACCGCAAGAGTGAAGTTTTGAAGTCTTAGATCAAAACTTCCCGTTCTTCAGAGGCACCCAACGTCGATTTTCGGAAAATATCTGTTCGGAAGACGATTTGAGATCTAGAATTTTCGGAACATTTGTTGTAAAATTTCTTGCTTGCCACCTCTGCTGGGATTTCCGAACATCTAAAAAATGGTATAATTGCCCATTTTTAACGGATTTTTACCCTAAAAAGGTCACCTAGAATTTGTGGGAGCCTTTTTTATGGCTGAAACTTTCGAAAAGGTCAGTTTTGATCCCTATAATTTTCGGATCACTAGACTTTCAGCTAGGAAATCCGAACAGATGAAAAATTTTTAGGGGATAAAAATATGCCTATATCTACCGTTTAAATACTAAAATACGTTTAACGATGATGTTCAAGTGGCTTTGAACTATATTCTCGTTGGATGCCCCTGGTTCTTCGGTCTTTCTTTGCTCCGAAACCAAACGGAAACGCTTGCTACGCAAGCGTTTGGAGGGGAGGATTACGCACTTCCTCTTGGTATGTGATTATCTGTAAAGCCACCTCGCCACTGTGTCTGGTGGCTATCTGACATCCCATATCCAACGCACGTTTGTAAATTATTTGTTTAGTGGCTCGAACACACCAACTGTCTCTTCTTTCTTGTAAACTTGCCGTGTTTCTATAACCCGTGTGAAGACTCCCCGTCAGTCAACTAGTAATCGCTTCAACTGGAAGTTTTCTTCATTTCCTCCATAATGAATGCTAATAGTTGATCCTCAGCTGCTCTCTGTGCATTTGCATTGTAATGCACATGATCTAGTGTGCCATCAGGATACGAAGCGGTCATTTGATACGTGTCCAACACAGGAATACCAACTTTGCACATGGCGTTAGTCGTGTATTTATGAAACAACTCCAGCCTCTGATGATAGAAAAAATCAAATACACATCACGACAATTACAACTACTTTAATGATAAAGATGACGATAACAAGACAAATAAGGACAGTTATTAATTAAATTAATTACTATTCGTTCAAAATATTTCTTCTTTACTATAACTGCGGTATACCATACTCAATCTCATTCAAGAGTTGTTCATAATATTGAAAGTAGCTATAGATAATGAAAACATCGTGAAAAAGCTATTGAAATTTCTTTACACTACACAGACATAGAAAAGTGCAGTTTAAATGGAAGGCATAATGTTATAATTAGCAATTATTAAGTGAGGATATATAACAATTTTTCACCGAAGTGCGCGGCGAGGTAATATCCACTACTAGCCACCTCCACTTCGGTGAATAATTGTTTTAGTATATTCTAAATCAGTGAGATAATTGAGCACAAAAATGATGATTTTTAACTCATTTACTGTTACCAACGATTACAATTCATTGGCGCGCAATGACCTAACGGCCGTCTCGTTTCTTGCCAAACTTTTTTTTCAAGGCATTTGTTTGGCTATTGCGGGGAAATTTCTTCTAAAGGAGTTTAAAACCATTTTGTAAAAAAACTAGTAAATTTAGTCATAAGCTTATTTGTGAACATGTCAGCTAAATAAAGTAACGCAAGACTTAATTTGCATTTGTAAACAAAAAAACTTTTTACTGGTTTCATCTATAAATTCAAGTCAAACAGACAAAGCTTCACCTGTTAAAACTTCCAAACCTAATTTCGTTACCTTCTTCGTGTATTTCGGGAAAAGCTTGTTTTAATTATTTGTATTTAAATTTCTTTGTCTATTACGGCAGCAAACCGGGATCCATTTTGCTCGTACCTTACACGAGTTCGGCGTCGCTGGCTTAGGGTTGATTTCCAGTGTTGCGTAATTTGTACGTGCGTACGTGCGTAAAATTTACGTTCGAAAACAAAATAGAGGCAATCCGTGAAAGGTCGCTCGTAAGCGTAAAAGCTGAACCTCGCTCAACTTCTCGTTTAACCTCAGCACTTTTTATCTTGCCTTTATTTTATTTACGTGATTAAAACTTACGTGCGTTAACGTGCGTAGCCAAAAACACGTCAGTGGAAATCAACCTTTAGAGGAACTGGAGGCAAATCAGTGAATAAAAAATAGCACTGGAAATCCAGAGGTTGAGTAGCCAATCAGAGCACGCGAAAAACGCCATCCACTGTTTTAGTAGCAGAGCTCCGCGCGCGAAACGCGCCAGCGGAGCACCATGGGTAAATAAATCTACCCATCACAGAAAATTTGGTAATCACGTGACCGACCGACCGTCCGTCCGCACCACAGGGATGCCAATGTTTACTCTCACATTTTCTAGCTACTTTGGGAGCCCAGGAGAAAGCTGATTGCACATCAATGTTGTCATCAATTGACGGCTGTCAAAACAGGGCATCCACTGACCAGTATCACCCGACCGTATCGCTGGCTCAGGTGCCGACCCATCAAGGTCGAGCATTTTTTTGAAGTTATCCGTTTTCAAATGATCGCGGGCTCACGTTTACTTTTTTTAAAAAATTCATATCAAATATGTTGTGTTTATGTTAGTATCGCCCCGCACTATTACAATTTTAATTTCAAACTGACCTCAGACGCAAAAATTCAGCCATTTTTTTTAAAATACAGGCGGGGAAGACCTTTTCTTACCATGGTTTCGTGTTGTTCACGCTCCACGTCCAATTTTTATGCTCTGATTGGTCAAAATTTGACAGGTGAGTTCATGCGTAAAATTTATGCAGCATCTTGAAAGTTGTTTACTTTGACAGCTGAAGTTGACAGAGTTTTGAGTCAACTTGTGATGTTTTTAACTGTCTTTTTCCACTGGATGTAGAAAATGAAATACAGCTGCTATCAAGAGTGTTCTCGTATTCATGGCTGGTTTGTTTATTGGGTTTTTGGTTCTGAAATGCGTCGCTTGTTAAAGCCGATAATCCGATTTCGGATGGCATGGTTTTTGTTTTTCACCTTGCTGGATACATGCAAGAATTATAGAGGCTCAAGGGATCCTTGCCTTACTTGATAGCTTTCAGGAGCTGCATCTCGAAATATGGTAAGCCTGAGTAATTATTGTATTTAAATATAATTTCATGAAGTCCAGCGGCCCAGTTTATGAAGCTAGTTTATGCACGTTTGTATTAAGATTTGACTGAGACACTGATCTGACCTAGTATGAGGTTTGATATATATAAGCTTAAGCTTACAGAACTTTAAAAAACCCTTAGTCGCTATTAATTCACCGTAAATAGAAAGAAAAAACTTT